AGAGAGAGAGAGAGAGAGAGAGAATTTTTTTTTAATATTTATTTTTTAGTTTTTCAGCGGACACAACATCTTTGTATGTAGTGCTGAGGATAGAACCCGGGCCGCACACATGCCAGGCGAGCGCGCTACTGCTTGAGCCACATCCCCAGCCCAGTATAGCTTTTTGTAAAATCTAAAGGATGGAATATATATATATGGATTCTGTAGAGAAGGTTGCAAATTTGAATCATGATGGGGCCCAGTTGGTGATGGAACTGAGTAGCCAAGTGAGAGCACTTTGGGCAAAAAGGAAATGCTTGTGGATTCCAAAGTTGGCAGCGGCTATTCAGGTCCAGTCAGACAGTTATGTGGGAGTATGGGTTTGGGATGTTGAGTCTACTGCATTGGAAGAAACTAAAAATCTCTTGATTTTTTGAAGGTCGACTACTAATATAGGAATTTCAAAAACAAAAACACCCAGTGTTTGCAAGCTTTACTCTTAGGGACTATAGATGAGCAAAAGCTTCGGATTATTTTATGTACATGGCCAACTCTTCTAGTTAATGTCCATTATCAAATCCATGGTGTAGTATTTAAAGATTAGAGAATAGGGTTATTAACATTTTCGGTGTCCATTCAGAAGTACATGTTATTTTGTGCAAAAGGCAAACTGATTTCAATACATAGTATCAAGATGATATTGTTATGTAGTTGAAATATTTTCAAAGTCACTTTGGGAAGCAATGGAAAATTGGAGTTTTCCTCAAAGTCCATTGTAAAATGACCTTAACTGAATGTCCAAAATTGTATTTTATACTGGCTAATAAAATTAGATGCCACTATCTGAATGTACCCATTAAAAAATTACAGTCAACAGGCATAGGTCCTAGTGTAAAAAAGAACAAGGTTTATGAGTTAAAGAGACTTGAGTTCTAATTCCAGCTTTGACATGCATACGCTGTGGATGGTAGGTAAAAATCACTGGATATCCCCAGGGTTTGAGGTGGTTAGACAAAATAACTTCAAAGGCCCCTTCATCATTTTGTAATTCCTTTAAAAATATTCTAGAACCCAATTTTGTTTTTGTGAATGAGATGAATGTGTAGATTATAAGTAAACTGTTCACACTTAAAGGCTTCTTTGGAAAATAGGTGAACACAGTGATTCAATACCTAGAGAGCACTCTATCTCAAAAACAAAAAAAAAAAGAGCCTCAAAGATTACAGGGGAAAATGATTGTTATTCTACCCAAACACTTGAAATTAATTTCCAGTGAAAGTAAGTAGAGACTCAGAACCAGAAACTACCAGTGAACAAGTATGTTTTAGGTTCAAGTTCTGAATCTGCCATTCATTACTGTGTGACTTTGGAAAAGTCATATTATTTATTGATTTGGTTTTCTGATTTCAAAATAAAACTTCTCTTCCCTTTTCCCAAGGTTTCTACATGCCTTAGAGTTAGTTAGACTTCATGACTGTAATTATTGTTTGTTTTAAGTAAATTCATGGCTTCTAAATTTTTTTGTTTAACTTCCAATATATTTTACATGATACAGGTTTCTTTATGAATATTCAAGAAGATATCCAGAGTTGGCAGTTCCAGTGATTTTAAGAGTAGAAGCAAAATATAAAAATTTATTGGAAAAATGTTGTAAATTAGAAAAACCTTTGGAATGCTATAGTCATGCGGTAAATTTCTTCTTTTCCTTTTCTTTTTTTTTTAAATGTGTTTCTCATCAGTGATTACAAACAGGAAAAATTCCAGTGCTGTAAGTAGTGCCATATTTTTGTAAGATGATTATAAATGTTCTAGCTAATTGCAAGCACTAACATCTTACCTTAGTGACTCTGGGTGAGTCATTGCCTTACAGACTGTGTTTCCAGAAACCTCAGCAATCTTAAGTGACTATAGATGTATGCTCAGCACAGTAGCAGGTAGCTTGAGAGTGCATTCCATTTGAGTATGGGTAGTTTACCTTTTTCGGAGCCCTAGAAGATATTACCTTTCCAAGCCAGAAACCTTACTATTCACAGGTAGAAGCTCTTGTGCATTTGAAATGTAAAAGCTGGCGGCCTAAAAATCTTCTCATCAGCCTATCAGTTATCTTTGAGTTAAGATAGGGTAGTTCTGGCTTTTTAAAAATTCTGCTCAATGTCTTACACATTAATAGAGGTCTAGGGTTGTGTGTACAAAGGGCCATCTTGTCCTGCCTGGCCTCAAGCAATCACACCTGAGACTTCACTGTTCTCAGAAGGATAGGGAAGATGATTTAGTCTCCTGTATGGAAACACCCATCTCATTGCATCTCTGTTAGTTTTTCACAATGATTACTATGACTATAGCAACTTGAAGGAGCCTGGATGTTTAGAATTTACAAACAGCTTTACAACGAGTGTCCTATTTGATCTTCACCATAGCCTGGCATGATAAGTAATGCCTGAATTACCAAGCACACTTTATAGAGAAGAGTAGAAGAATTGTTTTAGTCTGTGTGTGTGTATGTGTGTGTGTGTGTGTGTGTGTGTGTGTGTGTGTGTGTGTGTAACTAAAAGACCTGACAAAAACAATTAGAAGAGGAAAAGTTTATTGGGGGGACCATGGCTTCAAAGATCTAAACCCATAGATGGTTGACATGGTTGCTCTGGACCTGAGGTGAGGCAGCACATCATATCAGAAGGATGTGGTGTAACAAAACTGTTCAGGACATGGTTCCACAAGAAAGCAGAGAAAGAGAGCTTCCCTCACCATGGACAAAATGTAAACTTCAAGGGCACAACCCCCAGTGAACCCCCTCCTCTAATCACTCCCTACCTGCCTATAGTTACTACTCAGTTAATATCTATTAGGGGATTAATGTATTGATTAGGTTAAAGCTCTCATAATCCAATTGTTTCACCTCTAAACTTTCTTGCATTGTCTCACACAGGAGCTTTGGGGGGACAATTAATACCTAAACCATAACAAGAGTACTGATTTCAGAAGATTCAAGTGATTTGCTTGGTATCACACAGGTAGTAGAGACAGTGCTAAGAATAAAATCTAGGTCAACTCCTTGCAAAATTGGGTGGAAATTTCACTGAATAAGAACTGCTTTTTAGGATAAGGTGGATTAGATCTGACTAGTAAGGTGATCATTTTTTCTACCAAAGAATTCAGCCTGCAGGATCATTAGTATCTTCTCATTAGAATATTATTTTCATGGTTCAAGAATTCTTTGAATTTGCCATTACCTCTGAAAATTACATCTAGTTCACTTTGATGTGTATTTATGTAATGTTCACAGCCTGAACATGACTTTTTTATTAAACCATGACTTCTTAACACATATGTATATTTCTGTACGTATATATCTATATCTGTGCTGCTTATATAAAAAAGGCTATATTATTAAAATAACCAGTAGACACACATGCACAGACCAAACATAAATCTATCAACTTCTCTGCATTCCTCTCTTTGGCCTGGTGAATGATTTGCCTTATGTTTGTAGAACACAGCAGTTAAGCCCACAAATGAGTTTATATCATGGGAATCCAGATATCAATCTTGCTGTCCCACTTTTTTGCCACAAAATATATGGTGATTTTTCTTTCAGTAAAATGTGAGCTTTAAGATTTGTGAACTCACTAATGAAGATCTGGGTTTAGGGAAACATTTATATTATACTATTAGAAATGTGTTTGCAATCTCAGCTGCAGATAAATGTTTGCAACCATATGTAAACACTACTTATTTCTGTTTTTCAGGAAGTGCTGTTCCAAAGAGTGGTACGAGAAAGCCGTGATCATGTGAAAAATTACTGTGATTTACATGAAAAATTGGGAGATAGTAACTTCCATGACAGGTATGCCTCTAAGATATTCAGATTTGTGTTTGTTAGTGACTGGTGGTCTAGGGCTCTCTTCTGTTCATTCTTGACACTGAGAATTGCTTCAATCTCCCAGGTTGAAGAAAAATAGAAGGAAATGCATTAGGAGAGAAGAAGGGGGTTATGGGGAGGAAGAAAGGGAAGGCAAGGGCATGTACTGAAGAATGAAATTGATCAAAGTATGTTATATGCATGTTTAAATGTCCCACAATGAAACCCACAATTATATATGATTAATTTGCATGAATAAAAATTACATAGGAAAAAAACCCTTCAGAATTAACTTGCCCGTTGCTTTGTTAAGATAGATGTCTATGGAACTTTGGGTATTTCCACATTGGCTTTCCAGGACAGCTCCTCAGATGCCAGTCAATGTCCAGAGGTTAGGGAACAAAGGAGGCCCTACTGTCCCCTTGAAATCTCACAGAGGTCTCTTCCTTACATTTGAATGTTTAGTTTGAGTCAAGTGATTTTTGAGTCAAGGCTGCAACAGAAATCTAATCCAGGGTCCCTTTGTCAGTTTTAAATCAGGCTCATCAAGCACATTTAGTATTTTCATCACTACCAAGAGATAAAAATTATCAGTTATTTGCCAAAGAGAATATGTGTACAGAAAGCCTGGGAAATCCCACTGTATCGCAAAGATTAAGTTGTCACAAAACAAAAGCTAATTTTTAGGAATCTTTGAGACCTTACTGTAATAGTCTATTAAGAAGTAGAGTATTGAAGAAAACTTCAGTTTGATATAGTGTCTCATAATACTGAGCTTAAATTAAATGTCCAGAATAATGGATCACAAAAAAATAGTTTTCTGACTCATCTAGAAAGAATTTCTTGGCTTATTACTTTTCTTTTTACATTGTGTTCAGTTGCTAATGAAGGATTAGATTGTGATTTTCAAGTTTTGGAATAAATCAAAATGCAGAGAGATGTGTTAAAATATAGACCCCGCATCCAGAGTTTCTGATTCTGTAAGTCTGGAGTGGGCCTGAGTATTTGCATTGCTATCAGATGCTTAGGGATGCTGATACTGGTGGTCTAGGGCTCCCCTCTGATCACTACATGATTAGATTGTTGGTTTCATTGGATGTTATATAAACCACACTCTTCTCCAACTCCATTCATTACAAATGCAGTAACTGATTCTAATTCTTTGTTGTCTTCAGCACCTAGTTCTTTAGAGTCTCTTTAAAATCTCTCTCCATCTCTTTTGATTCCATCCAACACTCTCTTAATTCAGGCCCTGGTTTTCTTTCACCTGGAATGTCAGAATTTGGAATTCTTTATTCCCTCACTTTACCTCTTGCCCACCCCCAATCCATTCTTTATGTCTTAAAACCAATGTAAATCTGATTTTATAACCAGATTTTTTTTCCTCTCCCACATCTCTCTGTCTTGCACTTTGTCTCCAAACCCCCAATCAAATAAAACCAAACCAAACCATAGTCAGTGACTTCATGACTTCCATTCCTCTTCACCGGACTCCCTCAGAGTCCTCGTCAGATCTCAGCTCAGAAGTCATTTCCTTAGGCCACCTGTCTGAGTTCCCTGAGATGGGATTAGATGCCATCTTTTGTGCACTGTTGGGAAATATAATTAAAAACAAAATCTCCCAACCCAGAAAACCTCTCTTCAGTGGTAGTGGAAAAATGAACTAGTGGGTTTTTAAAATTGAATAAATATAAAATCAAAATGTGATGTGCATCACAGGCCATCCATGGAGAGATTGTAAAGACAGAAGGAAATTTCACTCCACGAATACAGCCAGGCAGACACAACCCATTGCATACATGTTTTCATAAAAACAATAACTAGTCTTCAAGTGAGAGGACTTGACAGTACCATTTGTCACACATAGTTCATCCTAACTTTATTTGCTAATTGGGATGACCATTTGTGTTAACTATGTGACTTCATCCAGAGATAAAACAAAACCAAAAATGACAACAAAACAACAGCAACAAAAATAAACTTTTTAACTTCTTATATCTTTAAAAGAGGGAGTACTTTTGCAACTTGGAGTAAAGCTCCTACCTTCTCACAAGAACTGGGAGATAGGGTTGCTATCTCTCATGTTTGCATTTCAAAAGGATGGTTCCTGGGTCCTTGAGAAAGATGTTTCTGGGTCATAAAGCTGGAAAAAGCTGTTTCTAGTTTGAAAAAAAAAATTGCATGAGTTTCAAAGAGAGGTGAAAATACAAAATAAAGTGTTCTAAAATAAAGACACTAAGAAAAAGGAAGGAGGATAATTCTTACTTTGTTTTCAATAGGATTTTATCCTCTTATTTTTAATTTCTTGTTCATCTTGACAGAACCTACAGTACTATGTACTTTCCACAGATTGAATATACTTGTCCATCTCCCTCACTAGGGTGTGAGTCCCTGGACCACAGGGGCTGCTTGCTATGGTTACTGTACTCTCTATTCCTACACATGGCAGAGGATCATTAAAGGCTTTATAGTTTCTGCATATATTTGTTTCAGAAGCTGTTTACTCTAGGTCTGATTTCACAGCCATCTAAGTTAGCTGTCACAGTGTCCCTGATAAGGAGAAAAAAAAAAAGGTGTTTTTTGAGTGGAGCAGTGCATGAGGCAGGAACAGATCTCCAGGTATATTCAATATGGCGCTGGTCCAATGGAAGGACAAAAGGGATACAATTAAACTCAATTTAATATCTTGTTCCTTCTCAATCAGAGATCATGTCAGCTATTGGGGAAAACTCTGTAGAATTGATGTTTGGGTGTGTAACCATTGCTAGTAAGAGCAAATTGATTTTTTTAGGCTCATGGTCCTTTACACCAAGAAAGCTCCACAACTATCTGCTCAAGAATTGGTTATGTTCACAAAGAAGATGGCAGCTGCAGCCTCCAGATGCTGCCCACAAAGTGATGAGCAACAGTTTGTCTGTATTGAGGACTCGGTAAGTACATCGGTGACATCATGTCTGCCTGTTCTTGAGAGTTCTCATTTGTAATCCCCACCAATCCATCTCACTTTTGTGGACATCCACAAACTGTCAATGGAGCCTCATAATTTTGTTCTCAGGGGACATTTTGAAGGTAAGCTAATGCTAATTGTCTTCAGCTATCAACAGGGTAACCTCCCTAACTTCAGGCATGTTAGATTCACAAAGTTTTTCCTGGATCATATCTCAAGGTCTATTGCTTGGATATTTAAGCACTAAAGTGATTTTGTCAGAAATTTCAAAAATAGTTTCTTAGACTAACTCATTCTAATCATACAAGTATTAAATTTATGGGAATCCATATGTATTCAATTACAATGAACAGTGTCTTTTTAACAGTAGAAATAATTGGTATAACTAGGCTACCCTTTTTCCTGTATGAAAAGGCTGAATTATGATATGAGTAATCATATCCTAGAATCAGAGGGAAAATAGATGGTCTTGAGAGATATTTCCTTCAGGCTATAGGAATCATGACAAATTATTTCTTCCTCACAATAGATACAATTCCTCCACGGACCAGATACTCAAGTCTCTGAGATTTAGCATCTGGGTCTCTAGCAGTATTTTCTTAACACTCCTGAATTCTTGTTTGGTAATAACTTTCTCTGCTCTGTGTCCATGGTGGATCCCATTCTCTACAAGTGGTCGTTATTTTGATGAAGTATACTTGCCACAATTGTAAATTGAAAAATTATTACTTAGCCCTGCCTTCCTTTATAAAAAAAAATTTTTTTAATTGAGTCATGCCTACATTGGGGAACTCTTCTGATTAGACTTGTTTATTCCTAAAATCTAGTTTTGGAGCAATATCTTTGGTTACTTCTAAAATGGATAAACTCATACATTAAATTTATTGATTTTAATTATTTCATCCTCACATATGTACAGGACAGAGAATTTGGGTAGTCAGCATACTCTGTGGGGCCTATAGGCATTCGGGTAAGTATGGGTGTCTGAGGACCACATTGGGAGTAAGGCAAGGTGACAGGTCTAAAACTGTCAAGAAAATGTCGACAATCAACATAGGATTCCAGGAGTTCTTTCATTATTCAGTCAGCAAATATTCATAGAGCATCTACTGTGTGCCAAGTTCTGTGGTTGGTTACATATGTCCAATTATTAAAAAAAGAAAGAAATTGGATTTGAGCTTCTTAAGAACTTCAGTTACCAATCTTGCATCTGAGTCAAGTTAGCAATAGTGTTGACTTGAGGCTTGATTCTAATTTGGTGGAGCATAAGAAATTCCTGCTCTAATTAAAACTGGTCTGTCCACTCGATTGGGAAGGAACCTGAAAATGGGGTCCAGCGGAACTCAATTTGAAGATGACAGGAGGAGGAAGAATAAGGCTAGGAATAAGGCTGCACCTGGCAATCTTCTGTTTTCCCACACAGTGAAATCCAGGTGGAATTAGCAGAAACTAGAATTTGAAAATACTTAAATGTAATCTTATGTTCTATGGGCAAAAAAAAAAGCAATAACCATAAACTTTATCACTCTTATTTTAATTTCCTCTTGAAAAGGCAAAGCTAATTCTTGGAGCTCTGTGCGGAAGACATGAAGTTGAGCCTATCAATGCTGGTGTGGGTCACTGCTGTGACAACTCATATGCCTTCAGGAAGCCATGTTTTGATGATCTGCAAGTAGACGGAACTTATGTTTCTCCATCTTTACCTTGTGACCAAGTCATCATCCTTAAAGGGGACTTGTGCAAAGCTCAGGAGAAGGAACTCCAAATTGAAAAGGAAAAGTAAGGATGCTTGCTTACTTTTTTTTTTTTTTGCTAGCAACAAGAGAGCTGATACAAAAATATTTAAACTGAGTACAGATCTAACTATTGCATAATGAACAGAGCAGCAAAATGTTGTATTAGAAGTCAAGTGAAATTAAGAATATTCAGCAATTTAACAATTATGCCTACCATGCCTGTTACCCTTACTTGATTAGTTAATGAGATAGAAGCAAACTGATCAGAAATATCAACAGAGACGTACATTAATGTGTTTTTCCTAAAATGTGAACTTGGAGCATTCATCTCATAAGGTGTTGCATGCAAAGAGGTTTCTGTCAGGTAAGTTTGGAAATAATTTATTTCCTTTCTCCTTTTGGAAAGTAATCTTCTCTATCAAAAATGGAAGCCAGAGAAGTCCTGTAATAAAGTAAACTGCTTGGCTTGTTCTTATTAAGAATCTTTTGGGTTGAGGATGTGACTCAGTGGTAGAACACTTGCCTAACACATGGGAGACTCTGGGTTCAATTCCTTGCACTGCCTCCTGCCAAAAAGAAAAAAAAGAAAAGAAAAAGAAAAAGAATTATTTGGGCCATAGGACCTTCAATTTTGAGGACCTATATTATGGGAAGTACTTGAACTGTTCCATTGGAATGATGGATATTACCTCAACAGTATGTCTTTATTTACTACCACTTTCAATGCTATTATTAGGATTGCCTGAGTCTGTTTTGAAGAACAGTTTTGGGGCAATTTGTTGAAGTTGCCAACTGGGAGACAATGTAACGCCTATGAATACAACTCCCTGAATCCTTGATTTCCCTCCTTTTCCTTATTTAATGGAGTGCCTTGTATCAGATAATGCTCTTTAGTGACTTATTATAAGAATACAAAATATCACTAGGCATTCTCAGTACAGGAAATAAACATTTAAATGCCAAAAATCTTTTCTATAAAGATATAAAGTCAGTTAAATTATTATGAAAATGGGAGGAATTTTAGATATTAGTTTCCCAACCCCAAGTTTAGGAAATCCTTCTAAAACACTGTTTATTTCATCTATAAATATATTCAGTGATGGGAAAACAGCCTATTTTATCTTTAGATATGTTAAGTTATTGGAAACTTCATCTTTTTATGTTGCTGTTGTTAAATAGAAATGTTTCCTTGTCACTTCCTACAAAATTTGTGCCTTTGAAGCTACACTACATATAGCCAGTGTAAGGACACTATACCCCCATGCAGTATTGTAAGGACAGATCTTTATTGTTTGACAATCAACTAGGGATGAGGCAGGATTTATACTCAGGTAGATTTCTAAGGGGAACCTGAGAGGAATGATATACTATGGGAAATACATATGCATGTGTAGGTGTAAGTATCATGTGAAAACATTTACACATTAAAAAAGTTTACGAATAAGTGATTTTGCAAAGTGCTATTGCTGTTACCAATATTAAAAAGCCTACTGATTGGAAATGCTGCCAGCAGAATGCACTCTCTCTACATTTGAGCAGGATTTCCCAGTGGGTGCTCTATATATTTAAGAAGGCTTCTGTATTAAGTCAGCAAAAGAACTGAATCCAAAACTCTTACCTGTTCCCACTTTTATAGCATCTATTAAAATAATTATTTCACTGTGCTGTTCTTATTTCCCCTCCACTACTACACTCCATTATCAAGTTTGCCCCTCATCCCCTACTCACAGATGTATCATTTAGTTTTGCAGCATAACAAATGAAAATGTAATGACTTAAAAATGCTCACAAATCTATAGGTTGATTGGAAGAATCTACTGATCTGGGCGAGCCTGGGCCATTTTCCTCAAGGTTTGCTCCTGTGTTTGCAGTTAGCTGGGGGCTGGCTGGCTCTGTATGGTCTCAGCTAAGATGGTTGGTTGTCTCTGCTTCATGGGGTCCCCTGCCATCTGACAGGCCAATGCAGCTTCTTTATAAGGTAGATGGGAGAAATGGCAAGTGTGGAGACCCCATGAGGCCCAGATTTGGAATTGAGCAATGTCAGTTGTGCTGGAAGGTAGGTCACAAGGCCAGCCCAGATGAGGGAGTGTGGAAATAGATTTTATTTCTTGATAAGATGAATTGAAAAGTCACATTTTAAAGGATATGGACACAGGCAAAGCTAGACAATTGGGTACCGTTTTGCAATCAACCTGTCACATGTGCATCATTGATGTAGTTGTTAAAATTACAAAAAATAATAAATGGCAAGATAATAGTAGAAAACATGACAATTAACTGAAGTCATTGAAAATGAGGGGGCATGACCAGGCTTTCTCCATGTGAAAGAAATAGGGATAGGGGATGAATGAAAAGTTCAATGACATATACTTCCTAGTAGCTGTGGCTTTCAAAAGAGGATAAAGGAGAGATCTGTTGGAAGCAATAAAAGGGATTCAAGTGCTAAAGTCAGTAGTACTTATAGAAAAATAGCCTCCTATTTTTTTTATTTTATTTATTATTGCTATTGTTATTTTTATAAACAATAGATTTGCTGTAACATGATCTGGCTCATTTTATTGAATTTAAAGAATTAACGCATTTCAAAAATACCAAAAATACATCATAATGAGTCTTAGAACTATAGTATGATAATGATTGCACAAAACTCTAAGATATGAGCCCACCATCTCCCTGACATCCAGTGGCAACAATGAGAGAAACCCTATGGCATCTGGGAGAGATGCCTGAGGTTTAGAATACAAGGAGTTTATGCAGATTAATCACTAAGTGAGGGAATCAGAGCAGGTTTGACTGTAGCCACTTTTCTCCATCTAGAAGTGCTTTCTTAACCATGGGGCAAAGTCACTACATGGAGAGAAAGAATAAGTTGTGTCCATGATTCAAGGCTCCACCCTGAAAAATATCCTCCTTTTAAGAAAATTTGGAGTAAGCTCTACCATCAGGGAGCCAATGTCTTGTATAGAGGGAGAAAGAGAAGTTCAGAGAAAAGGTGGATATGGGGGAGTTTTCTAAGAGAAAGCCCCAAGTCCTAAGAAGACTTAGGGAGAGTAGGAAGGCAGGAGATGGGTCAGATTAGGGATGTGGAAAGCATCAGTGTGAAGGTGGAACATCTGAAAGATGAGATTTCTGAGCATTACTAGGGCATGCCATGATGGGTATAGCCTTGCCAGTCATCCCTGCAATGCATACAACCTCAGGGGGTGCATGTTACTCTTGTTACTGAGAGTAGAGGGGATTAAGATCTTACTGGCAGCCGGCTGGCACTTCCCTGTTTCAATATCACTAACATAGATACATGGAATGGAACACTGATCATCAGTTCCTAAGACATTTTATTTATTTATTTATTTTGCTGCTGCTGACATAGAAGCATCTTTCTTAGTCATGCATGTCTCTATCCCCACCTCATTCTGAGCCCAGAGTCAAGAAATTCCATGGGCCATATATTCTCCTTGGAGTGACTCTATAGGTGATGGAGCCCAGGCTAGAGGCCCCTGTTGGAATCTGCCAGAAGTGACTGTTGGAGGAAACACCAAAGATTCTCATTTCCCAGTAGGATGCACCCAAAGCACCCCCTCCAATGTGGGGCAGTTCTGTTACAGTGCCACCCACCCTTTCTGCCCTCCTTCAGGAGAAAGCAGGGTCTGGTCCTCATTGCTCTTTTTCTCCCAAGATCATCAGAAGTAGCAGCTTATTTCTGATTTATTTACTTTAAGACGCATTCTGTCAAAGCAGTCTAAATATTATTAGTCCAAAAATATCACCTTGCTGAGTGAGACAGGTGTTCATTACCTTGGGAGTGAACACATTCTCCTGGTCAGCAAGTACAAGGTTGTTACTTTTTCTGTCTTTTTGCAGTACTTGCTATTCATAGACCAGCTGACCCTGAAGTCCTTTCATTTTCCAAGGTGAACTGGTCTCAAACTAAATCTTAGAGCTTTTCTCTAAGTATCCAAAGACCTTTGTAAAATGTAGTTCATCATTCTTTATCCCAGGATTGAGGTGAGAATCCATTTCATTTCCAGAGAGCAGGTTTTGTTTGCTTCCTCTAGTGACCATTCCTTGAACACAAATAGGCACATGTCATGATGTCATCTCATTAAATCCTTACCATAAATTTATGACGTAGATAATATTTTATTTGTTTTAATTATAAAGAAACTGGGACTGAGAAGGCAAAAGTTCCTGCTATGACATTAGGCAGGAGGTCCACAGGTAATTGAGCTGGGATGGGAACTCAAGCTATCTGGCTCAAAACATTTAGGCCTAACTCCCAGCATCAAGCTGTTAGTGTGCCCCAAATCCAGGGCTTATAATACCGAGCTCTAGAATTTTTAAAACCTGAAGTTATTCAAATAAAGGCTAGACAATAGCGCAAAATACTAGGAAGCATTTTTGTTCCAGTAAATGCACTGAGTTCTCTTTATGGAGAAAACAGGAGCATAGAGACAGTTAATGAAGGGGTTTATGGAATTTTCTGGGAGGATTCATCCTGGGAGTCAAATGTCAGCCTGAAAAAAAATTGTCTAAGTTTCCCTGATAGTGGCAAGGGCTTTCTCACTGCTCTCAGCCTGTATAACTCTGGCTTACCATCACAGCACAGATCCACAGAATAGTAAAAACAAGTGAAGGGACTCCTAGAGTAGAAAGAAAAAAATCAGCAAGATGGTAAAGACAAAGCAGAAGTTGAGATCATGGAAAAGTTTGAAGAGTATGATAGAGAAAACAAAAAGGAAGTATAAATTCAAAGTAAAATAATTTAAAATGCAATTAAGAAAAAATATTGAGCCGAAATGTTGAGTGTAGATGGTAACTAAAAGTAGAATAAGGTTTAAATGAAATGATGGATAGTTAATGAAAATTAAATACCACAGAAATGAAAAGCTGAAAACAAGTTGCTAACATTATGGGTCAAGAATATATGTCAAGATTTTAAAAAGTATTATTTACTTTATTATTTAAAGAGCTAAAGTGTTGGAAAGATTAGTGCAAATAATTTTACATAAAGGCACTCAGGCGGTATGTAAAGAGAGGGCAGGG